GAGCTCACACTAACCTCAAAGGTCAAACGCTGCATACAAGCCTAATTAAAACGGAAGAAAGCGTGTATGTATACAAGCGTCTTTGTGCTGAAACGTTTTCCAGCACTTCTCCGTGCGTGTTTCAGCAAGAGCCTGGTGCACAGAAAACTATTTCCTGCGTTTAAACTCTCATTTTCTCTCTGATGTCAACACACGCTCGCTCGCTTTTCTCTCCTTGAGGAAAACGCTGAACAAACGTTTTAAGAGAGAACGTTAGGCAAACATACACATGGCTAAATAGACTCTCAACACCCTAGCAAGCGAGTGTTTGATGTATGGCAATGACTGTGTGGCACACAAGAGAGGTAAAGTTTAGGGACCCTGGAGAGTGTGTGTGTGTTGTGTGTGTGTGAGCTCATCTGTTTTTGACATATAGCCGGAATAAAACAATAGCAGAAGACTGAGAGAGTAAAAGGAGCAGAACTCAGTAAATCATTTAGATTAGAGCTCAGCTAATGATTTTAACAGCTTGACATACACACACATATTCACACACACACTGGGATTGTGCTTCTGCCAAAACAACGACATATTCAACATTCTCCTCTGTCTACCTCATCAGCTCACAGCCTAGACCGAATCCCTCTATGCACACACACACGCAAGCCGCCCACACAACCACCAACCCACACACACACATATCCCAACATGAATCCCACTGCCAATGAAGCCTCATTCATCTTACTTTAGAGGACTTTCGCTCTTTTCCTCACAAACACACACTGATTCAAGATGTTTTTTCTTTTCTGAAAATGCGCCTTTGACAGAGCTGTCATAAACTCAGTGTGGCAAAATATGGTTTTGGAAACCTAATATGATTTATATGAAGTCATTTTTTATTATGAGAACACCAGAAACGATGGCTGTACTATTGGTAAATGTTTGTTTTAATGAAAGTGAATTTCATTATAATGGAATTCTATAGGAATTTATCAACTTTTCACTAATGATTGTATTCTTTACTATTTGTAAAATGTTATCAGTTACTATACAAGAACTTTCTATAAAATATGGAATGGGGAATTTTTAAATTTTACAGTGGCCACAAAATGTATTATCTGGACACTTAAGTCACACTTAAATGTATTAATTTAATTGCATTAGATAACAAAATATCATCTATCAAAGTGAGATTTGTAAACCACTTATGCTGTTTTCTCAGAACTAATGTCTTTTTCTGAACCATTTCATCTGCAATTTGTTTTAACCAACTTGTCCCAAAGTCATTTTTAGTTAATATAAGAAATCACTGGATAGGTTTCCCAACAGAGTAACCAAAGGTGTAGTTCATCACATTAACTAACATTTTATACAAACGTTTGATAACAATAAGTATCCAAGCACTTTTTGTCTTCATTTTGTACACTTTAGCTATCATTGTTTTATCATTTAAATGCCATATAGTTTTGCTTGAAAAGTGTGGAAAATATTTTAAATATTTATTTTAAAATGATTTTATAGTAATGTGATATATTAATATAAATTATAATTTATATATAAATATAAATGATATTATTTTAAATTGGAAATATTTATGTATTTATTTATTTATTTTAATATAAAAAGTCTATATAATAAATACAATACAATAAATACAATCTAGTGACATTTTGTGTTTTTGAGTGTGATGTAAGTGTCCATATAATTTTGGGTTTTGCTAAATTCGCTAAATTCATAATATTAAAGAATGAATGGGTAATACAGTCCACTATACATCTGACTCCGGAGAACATGAAGAACATGACAATTCTAAACACGGCTGATTGGCTGCTGGGCTGCAGTACCCCGCCCACTGCCCCAAGTATGAAGAACGATGGTATACTGCATGTGTTTGTGGAGTGTACATATATGATAGCACGTGTGTGAGTGTTTGGGTACAGTGCTTTGGAGGCTTTGCTTCACTACTTTCAGAGTTTGTTTGATTTTGAGAGGAGTTTGACAGCTGACAGGATGCCTTATATCTTTCTTGGTCTCTCTTTAAGTTAAGTCTGAGTCTCTGAACAGCAGCGAGGCTGTGAGCTCGGCAGGAGACACTGGGCTGGATACTTACACTGGGTCAGGTAAGACATCCACACACACACACATGCGCTGCATTCAGAATGCCTGTTGTAAGCCCGCTTGGGAACTTGCTGAAAGCTCTGAGCCCTCAATCTTTGTACTGCCCTTGAGCGAACGTCATCAGAGCCACAGACTCTTTATTTAGATCAATGTGCTCACACACAAACACACACACACACACACACACACACTCAGAGACTGAGAAACCCTCTGTCCATGCACTCCCCTGCAGAGAAGGTTGAGGCCCTTGCTTGAGCTGACAGTGTGATGTCTCTATAGAGAAGACAACCGCATGTTCGTTTATATGCACTGCAAAAAAACGTGTATCCTTGTCTTATTTTATATGTATTATTTTAAAACTAATATTTTTTCTTGTTTTAAGCAAAAATTCAGCTTCACATCAAAGGAATAAATTACATTAAAGTCATTACATTACATTAGTTTTTAAATGTAATAATATTTCATAATATTACTGTTTTTGCTGTATTTTTGTATTTATTTTGTATATATATATATATTTTTTTTTTTTTTATTATTATTTTTTTTTCCTTATAAATGCTTGTTTTCAGAGACTACGTGTGTGTGTGTGTATATACATATATTTTAGAAATGTTATTGAAAAATAAGAGAGAAATACTGATTAAGAAAATGGGGAATTATGACAAGCAAATGCCAAAATTAGTTTTTGATTTTGCATCTCAAGGAGAAAAGAGAAAGAGAGGGAAGGCAGGAGGAGGAAACGAGGACATTCTTTGATGTAGAAGGAAGGATTTTTGAGAGAATAGTTCCTGTTGTTTTTTTTCTGCGATTTCTTAAATTGAAACCAGCTGGTGAGAAAGACTGTGAGCTGTCAATCAAAACTGTGAGCTGCGTGTGTGTGTGGATATAAATTGAAGACTCTTGGCAAAATCTATTCAAATGGAAGAAGTCCAGCACACATTTTATTTTATGGTTGTGATATGTAATAAATTACACATTCAGTCCAACGACAACTGACATGCAGTACTGACTGCTGATACATCCCAGTAAAGTGTGTGTGTGTGTATGCGTTTGCGCGCCATTGTCCATGAAAATTCAGTCTGTCTAGCTAATTTCTGGATTTTTCTTCTTTTGTTATTTGTGTAGTTATAAGCAGCAGTGGATTCAGCCCTCGGCCGGCTCACCAGTATTCACCTCCTCTCTACCCCTCAAAGTAAGACACAGACACATTTTGATTTATATATGTACATGCAAAAACATCTAACCATCTAACATCCAAACATCTAACCATGAACAAGACAAATTAACAATGGCACTTGATGTCAAAAAGGCTGCGACCCTTGATCTAATCAAATGAAAGCTGAATGTTTTGATTTTGTTTTTGATTGGTAGGCCTTACCCCCATATCCTGTCTACTCCCGTGGCTCCTCCCATGTCGGCCTACACAGGCCAATCACAGTTCACTAGCATGCAGCCGTCGACAGTTTACACGCCCTACTCTCAAACTACTCCACCCTACGGCCTCTCCACCTATGGTAGGTTCTTTACTTTTGTTCACATGCTTATGGATGACATATTTATGTGTTGTTTATTTAGTGTGATGATGATAATATAGTCTAGTATTTACAATAGAATATGCAAATCATGTGAAAGAGCCTTTAGTATTATTCCAATTTGATTGACATGTCCACTTTCTTGATCTTGAGCTGCAGATTTGGGGGTGATGTTGCCAGGCATAAAGACAGAAGGAGGGCTGGCACAAACCCAATTAACCCTCCAATCAGGGCTCAGCTATAGCCCTGGATTTACCACCCCTCAGCCTGGACAGACAGCCTACTCACCCTATCAGATGCCAGGTGAGTATGTTCATGCAACCAAGTATAAGAGTCTGTAACTATATTAATAATACTGCATGGCTTCAAATGCTGATTCAGTTTTATACAATGGTAAATAAAGAAAAATTAGGACACAGTAGAAGATGCAGTTGTTATGCAACAAAAATAACAATCACTTTTAATATCTGCTAATTACTTGTAAAAAAAAAAGTAAGTAGTTTAAGGAGCAGTTTACCTAAAAATGTAAAAATATTGTCAATATTTACATATATATTTATTATTTATTTAAGGCACATAAATTAAACATTTTTGGAGAATCGTTATGCAGCTGTTGCCATAAAACGACCGTTCATAGTGACTAGGATCTGAAAAAACACCATAAAAGCAATAAAAGTAGTCCATACGACTTAAGCACTATATTCAAAGTTTTTCTTTTGAAAAGACTTGATTGCATCTAGTTCAGATTTGATGCCATTTGATTGGCTCTAACAAATGTGACTAAATGTGAAATTATTTTGAATTCTGGATGAGATTATCAGTGTTATCGCTGACTAAAACTATTTAAACATTTTTTTAATTGAAATAAAGCTGAAAAAAAATATTAGAGAAACTTAAAGGCAGAGTAAGTGATTTCTGGTAGCCAATGTTGATATTTGAAATCACCAAAACAAACATGCCCCTACCCCAAAAGGGTCTTGCCCCTATTTTGATAGCTCCGCCCCACATATACGTACGCAACCCAGGCAACGATTAGTTCTGTGAAACAAAGCAAAACCAATGTTACATCGTGTCTACGGACGTGAGCGGCGCGGCGCAACAAATCCCCGACAGAAAACTGCTGCCGGGTTCTATTTATGACCTGCTGACACACATTTCAAATGGTTTTCAACGGTCGTTTGATCGCGTCCAGTGTAAGCAGACTTTAGCTGTTGTAGACACGGTGTTACTCACCTATTGAGAAGAAACAAAGCAACCTCAGCGTCCGATCGCAGGCCTCCGCTCCTTGAGTTCTCTCCAGCGATGGAAAGCTGATCCGATATTTACACGGGTCCTACTTCTTAACCTTATCGTTCCGCAGACGTTTTCCTCTTTTGTTTTCTATCCGCCATCTCTATCTTTCTGTCGCTCGGCTCGGCTAATGTCCGTCCCATGCACTGAAAGCTCTCTCCTCCACATCACGAGACGAGTAGACACGCCCCTTATTGCTGATTGGCTACAAGTTTGTTTTGCGATTCGGCCCGAATCAGTTTTCTAAAGTGCTTTTGAAAAATCACTTACTCTGCCTTTAAATCCAATGCTAGACTTTAAGTCTGGAATTGAAGTCTTAGAGAGAGTCGTTGTAACATCAATCGTAGGTTTTTATTGGAATAAGGGTGTATTTAAGTATTATTAGGTCTCTATTTGTTAATTAATGTTTACTGTATTTGTTTATAGTTATTGCCTTGGTTTCCACATTCATGAAAAACCTGGAAATATAAGGGAGTTTGAAAACTGATTTCCAGGTCATGATAAAGTCAGAAATTTCTATAGTAAATTATCTGTGTTCCTGTTGTCCTATATGAAATATGAAAGTTCAGTTGGCCACATGGTGGCAGCACACTGCTTTTTGTTGTTATTTCATAAAGTAGGCCACCGAATGCAGGTGGTGATGAGAGCGCTGACCCTGTCTATGTTTAGACTCGTATGATATTACTTATATTGGATAAAAAATTCATGCATTGTTGTTTTCACCTTTATTTTGGCCTCTATCATCACTGCATGCTAAACAGTGTCCATTTACGGTTTCAAAACAGACATTTTGGATCACTCAGTTGCAGCTGATGCAACAACATCTAATTTCTGAAACTGCCAGCAATTACCCGGTTGAATCCTTGGCTCAAATTTTCGCAATTTGCACCTCATCTTTTCACGTTTGCTCGAAGCTGATGCCAGATTCTCTGCTGATTGTTCTCTCTCCTGCCTTACATTCTTTTGGCAGGTGGTAGAGGATTCAGAATACCATTCATGGTCAATGTGTTTCAGTGTGTTTTTGATGGATTGTAGCAGGGTTACAGACTGAGGCCACAGCGAAAATCTGGGATTCTTAACCTAATCTAAATCTGAAAATAATCTTAAAATAAAAATTATTTCAAAATAAAGTTTTTGGATTAGAAAAATTTAATTGTCATTAATTAAATCAGAAATATATATATATATATATACATACTGTATGTGTGTGTGTGTATATACATACTGTGTATGTGTGTGTGTGTGTGTGTGTGTGTGTGTGTGTATATA